ATTTGCGGCCTCGGCTGTCAATCACCAGGTCCCGTCCGGTGACTCCCCGCTCCCCCTGCTTCCCTGGTAATTACCGAAGGGGGAGAGACCTGTGTATAAACAACACAGATCTCTCTCCTGTCAGCTCCTGCACACTGCTTTATATGGCTCTGCATAGCAGAGCCATACAAAGCAGTGTGCTTACAGTGAAACGCACAGACACAGCACGCTTAGTAAAACACACCCAGCACACAGTTAACCCTTTGATCACCCCACATGTTAACCCCTTCCTGACAACTGGCATTAGTACAGTGTCAGTGCTTTTTATTAGCACTAATCACTGCATTGGTGTCACTGGGGATGTCAGTGACATCAAGTCTGTTTCCCCCAGTGTCAGAATGCCCACCTCAGTCCCGCTATAAGTCGCTGATCGCCACCATTACTAGTAAAAAAAAAATCCAGTATCTATACCGCCATTTGTAAACGCTATAACTTTCACTTAAACCAATTAATTTACACGTATTGGGATTTTTTTTAGCAAAGACATGTCGCAGAATACATTTTGGCCTAAATTTATAACAAAAGTCAAAAATATAGGTTTTTTTTCTCAAAGTTGTCTGTCTTTTTTTGTTTATAGTGCAAAAAAAAAACCACAAGCGATTAAATACCACCAAAAGAAAGCTATATTTGTGGGAAAAAAGGACATCAATTTCATTTGGGAGCAGCGTTGCATGACTGCACAGTTGTCAGTTAAAATAACGCAGCGCCATATCGCAAAAAATGGCCTGGTAAATCCTCAGGAGGGCAAGTGATTAAAGATGTATTCCTTCCAAGGACAATAGCTTGGTCGCTGTCTGTACATCATTGGCTTTTATTATTATTTGCTTCATTTCGTTTTATATATATATATATATATATATATATATATATCATCCAAAAACCAGCAGGTTGCAGCAATTGAATATCTTTATTTAAAGTGAAACTAAACTTACATTTGTTTTTACATCAATTGTTCTAAAATATCAAGTATACCTTGACTCTGTTTTTTTAAGTCTCTTAGCATTGCTTTTCAGGCTTTTTTGTTGTCCTGTGCATACTCCCTATCCACCACTGATGCACCTCGTTATTTCTGGTCACATGCTCTATGGGTACTACAGTTCTCAAAGAGGCGAATGTGTGTGCATTTAGATGTGTAGTCCGGGGGCGAGCAGGAGATGGTGACTATGTTCACATAGACAAGGGGGCATGAAGAACAAACACAGCCACCCGAGAACAAAATCTGAGAATATCAGAAAACAGCATACATTTTGAGGGATGAAACAAAAGAAGGGAGAGATAGAAAGTATATTCTACTGCTTGTAAGTTGTATTATGACAGCTTTTTGTTGCCTTCTCCCAACTGCCTTCAAATGCAGAATAATCTTTTTTTTTTTTTAAACTTGTTTTATTGAGTATATGCAAACAGATGTACATTTACTGAAAAGCATACAGGTACAAAAAGTACGCATTAGTGTTGTCTCACCAGCTAATATTTACAGCATAGAATAGGATTACAGCAATCAGTTGTAGATAGAAAGCATTTGTATTTGCAGTGAATGTATCATAGGATTAAAGAGTTTGAATAAATCTCTATCTGTTAATCTAAAGAAGAACAATGAATGTAACATTTAGAGGTAAAGTGTTGAGCTAGGCCAACATAACTATACAAACAGACAGGCGACAGAGCTATGACATGGCGGCTACAAGCAAAGAAAGGAGAGAGTCTGTTTCTTAACCCCTTGAAGCTGGCGCCTCCTGGCCCTTCAAGTGGTCTCTGACGCCGGGAGGCAGAGCGGGGTTTAGGGTCATGTGACCACCGTGATTGGCTGTCATGGCAGTCACATGATCAGAAAGGTCCCAATCGCAATGAGAAATTGGGACCTTTCCATGGGACGCCAACACATGTGCTGGGAGCGTGTAAGGCTTGCATGCATGTTTACAAATGGCATGCAAATACGCGGTCGCTCGGCATCAAGGCACATCCGCTGAGAGGCTGCATATTTGGGTACGCTTGGCGTGAAGAGGTTAAAATGGTACATTTTCTCAGTTTAAACATTTGATATATTTTCTATTTATACTTGCAAATCATTGCATTCTGTTTTTATGTAGATTTTACAGAGTGACCCAAATTTTCTGGTATCGGGGCTGTAGTTAAACATATTAGATTTTTTTTATATTATGAAAAATGTGAGCTGACACTTTGATATTTCAATACATACACTTACTACCACTAATGATAACAAAATCATTAATCTAAAATGTATCTGGATCTAAAAGTGATATAATTTCTCATATTAAACCTTAAGGCTCCATTCACACTAAGTGGTTTCAAATCACGGGTGGAATCAGCGCAATTCTGCCCGCAATTTGAAAATGTACTGTGAAAATCTGAAAACGCGCATTCAGGTGGCATTCATTTCAAAGGCACCTGAAAACGTGGGGCGTTTTTGCCACAATCGCGGCATGCTTTTCCACATGACAAACACACCATGATCGCGCAAACAAAACAGTGGTATGTGAGACACCCAAAAACGGTTCCAAAACCTTTTTGGGGGTCACATGTCCTGTGATTTTGTTTGCATGATTGCGGCATGTTTGTCACGTGTAAAAACTCACCGCGCGTTGAGGGAAAAACACCTTTCATTTTCAGGTGCCATTGAAATTAATTTTCACAGCGTGTTTTCAAACCACGGGCAGAATTGCGGTGATTCCGTCCATGATTTCAAACACCCTAGGGTGGATGGAGCCTTAATTATCATTACTATACTGCAGTGTTTCTCAACTTTTTTTCAGTTATATTCAGGCACCCTTTACATTTCAGCATAATCTTGAGGCACCCCATAGCAATATACTAATAATAATACTTTTACTTAATGCAGCAACATCTACACATGTAGGACACCTAGCATTAGAGGTGATTTATTCTTCCAAACCAAATACACCTTAGCACACTGGTACTGAGTAGTATTGCAATCGTTCTCACTCTCAATCCGCTAATGTGACCCCAGTGCTGATGCAGAGGGACAGGGGAGGTTCAAACAAGGATGCTGTGCAGGCAGCTGACATCCTCCTTATCAATTGATGACATCATTGGTTGTTAGGATGCCGGCAGCTGCAAGGTTGTAATGGTGTACAATGAAATCCTGTGGCTTTGTGTAACTAAAAGACCCACTCACTGTAAACATTTTTTTGGCACTTTGCCAAGGCACCCCTAGAGAAACCTGAAAGCACCCTGTTTGGAAAACGCTGCTATACTGTACCTACTATCATATCAATACACATTATACTTCCATATATCATCACTACTAAAAGAAACATCAGCTGCAGAAACTCTTACTAGGATAAAGAGGAAGTAACTATTTAAATATAACCCTAAATGACTAATGAGGACATTTCATCTTTTATATCGAGTCATCATGAGCTCATCCTTACATATCAAGAGTTCATCATAAAAAATAATCAACTATAATACTAATAATAGATATAAAACATATACTCTAGTAAAAAATGTGTTCATTGTAGATTTCTATGCTGATAACCTGAAAGCAAAACAGCAACAATGTAATAAACGATTTTCTTAAACGAATAAACAAAGTCAGTATTCAATTTTCATCAAATTTTGTATCAAATTTATGTATCCATTGAACCTCTTTTTGTCTCAGTTCTGTATTCCTTTCCCATCTTATGATCATGATCAATCACCATATATTTTGTGCTACTTTCATGTCTAGCCAATGAAAGTTCACACTTCTTATCTCTAATACAGTATTTGTGATGGGCTGTTTGTTCTTTCACCTTTTGAGTGGTCATCCCCATATAAAGGAGATCACATGTACATTAATACTAGGTTCACACTGATGCGGCAGGGAATTTGCACCAGTTTCTGTGCGAATTCCGCACTGCATCATAATCACACCCCCCGTTCGTGAGAACCGCTGCAGGTGTGTATGTTAACAACACTCCAAAATCGGTTTGCAAAATGCGGTGCGATGTGCAGAATCCGATTGCATGGGTGTGACTACCCATGAGATCCAATTCTAGAGCAGACAAAGAAAAGGGTCCTGCAACTTTTTGGTGTGGATGCAGTGTGATTTGAGCCATACAAAATTTATGGCTCAAATTGCACTTCACAGAATTTGCATGTGATTTGCACAGGATTGCAGTGTTGTATGTTGTATGCAGTGTTTGTTCCCCACTAGCTAGATATTTGAATTGCATTTTGACACCTTTTGATTTTGCATATGAGATTGTTAATCACAGGTACAAACATTTTTGAACTAGGGTTAAGAATGTGAGGGTTCCAGATATCACTATACACTGAAGAAGCATCGTTGTACCCTAAATGATGCTCAGTCCTCTTTAGCCACCACCCTGCAGACCTTTAATGGCTTTGGATACTTCTCAGGCATAAGAATAAACTGGTCCAAGTCTACTCTTTTTCCCATAGACAAGCTTGCACTTGAGATGATAGCCAATACTCCTTTACAATAGGTTCAACAGCTTAAATACTGTATATGGGTATCCACATCGCTGTCTCCCCAAATTTACCTATGTCTTCAAGCAACCCCTGATTTTGATTCCTCTCAGAAATTTCCGCGATAGATGCTATCCTCTTCTTCTTCCTATGGGCAGGGAAATTTCCTAGAATAATTTTTGCTTCCATGCAACTTCCTACAGATGCAGCTGGGTTGGCCCTGCTCAACATTTATTTTTACTATTTGATCTTATTTTTAGTTACCCTACACTGGTAGTTTACCCTTTCCTAATGGGAACCTTGCTTTAGACCAGTAGTCTCCAAACTATGGCCCGGGGGCCGGATGTGGCCCTTTGCTTGCCCTCATCCGGCCCCTGGGGCACTTTTTCTCCCACTTGCACCAACAAGGGGGCATACTTCTTGCTACTGACATTAATAACAGGCACTATTCCTCCCATTGACACCTACGATGGGGCACTGTTCCTCCCATTTACACCAACAATGGAGCACTATTCATCTCACTGAAAAAAACCATGAGGCACTATTCCTCCCACTGACACTAACAATGGGGCAATATTCTTCCCACTGACACCAACGATGGGGCACTCTTTCTCCAACTTACACCAAGAATAGGACACTATTCTCCCACCTAATGCCAAAGATGCATTGTTTACTCCCAATGATGAAGGACAATTTCTACTCCCAATGGCCACAGTCCGGCCCCCCTAAAGTCTGAAAGCCAGTAAACTGGCTCTTTGTTTAGAAAGTTTGGAGACCCCTGCTCTAGACCAAGTGGAAACCATAGTTGGATCTCCTCAATCCCCCCAATCTCTAGGACAGGGGTGTCAAACTCATTTTCATTACTGGCCACTTCAGCATTATGGTTGCCCCCCAAAGGGCCAGTTGTATCTGTAAGATTAGATGTCCCTAGCACCCCATCCCCACCTACCTCAGATGTCAATTGCTCCCCCCCACCTTCAGAAATCTAGAGTCACTCACTCCCCCTTACATCACAGTGCACTCCGCTTACCTTGTGATGCTGCCAGGAAGAAGCTGGGTGCAGAGCTGGGAATCAGAAAGTGTAGGGTCTGAAGGAGGACCAGAGGAGGGCTGGAGTCAGCTGCCACTGAGACCAGGGGAGGTGTAGAAGAGGGGGTGCTGTGGCTGCACAGAAAGTTCTGTTCTTCTCTCTGCTGCTGACTGCTGAGATGGGGGCTGTAGCAGGGACAAGCCTCTCAACGGCTGCATGGAGAAGTGTAGGATCTGGCTGAGGAGATCTGTCCTCCTCTCTGCTGCCATCTGCTAACGCAATGTGGGGGGGGGGGGGACTAGTTGAACTAGCTTGGTGGGCTAGATTTGGACCTGGGGCCTTGTGTCTGACACATGTGCTCTAGCATTCTTGTGGGTAGTAACTCAACTGATGAGAATGGGTGACAATAATTAAATGGTCATATACCCCTGAGTTTTGGTGCTCTTATATCCCCCATCAGGGACAATCATATGTGCCTTCATCTTAATAGTATTCCTGCTTGAAGCTGAGTGGGCATTGGGAGGCCCAAACCAATTTTTTTCTGACAGGTGAGCTCCACACGTTTGATTTATTAAAAGAGGAATATGACCTTCCCAATTGGTATTTCATCTGATATCACAGATCAAAGAATACTTCCTTGTTAGAGAAATAGAATAATTATATCTCTGCTCTTTCAGAAGATGTGGAAGCCCAGTACACTTAACTAATTTTTTTCTGCAAAGGAGAACTGTCCAACTGAAATGTTTACATAGAATATACTATACAATTGAGTCGTTGCATCACATCTACCCAATACCCTCCCCCCTTTGAAACAAATGCCAAAGTGCCATTGGCACTCTGTATTATATGACATGGAATTGCTCCCTAGTTCTTGAGTATTGGGGGCAAATCAGAAGTAGAATGTCCAAAATACTGCATTTACCTGTATTATTTGACCCACTTTTTCTACTTCTGTATATTATGTATTTCTATTCAAAAACATACTACTCTTTTATGCATCCTACTATGCTAGAAGATAAATTCTCCTTAAGTGGAAACTCTCCTCTCTGCTGCCCTATAATGTTTGGTGTTTGGAGATGAACTCTGCACTTCCTATGTACCAGTTAACATTTGCCTTGCCAAACACGGCAAAATCTGGTCCACATGGATAGACTACACGTGACCATCTCCTCCCCACCCCCTGCATTCCCCTGCCCTCTTCTTTCTTTCTCATGGGTTTGATATGCTTAGACTGCTGCTGCTGTTGTATGCTAACCTAACTTCAATCTTTATGATTTTCTTTGACTCAGTATCTATGAGGTTTGTATGGGTAATATTTCTTTTTATATGACACTCTTTATAAACTATATATGATTTGTAAAACAAACTTTTAAAATGTTGTCTTTTTATTGCCTTGTAACATGAAAACTTTCAATAAAACTTTCCTACTGTTAAAAAGAATGTAACAATTCCCTGTGAGTCCACACTGATCACTTGGGATATATCTAGTTAATACAGTAGTATTGATCATACATTATGGCTACATGCCTCAAAACAGCTATTTGAGGAGTCACAACAACACTGTTCCCCTTAAATGTAATTTTTAATGACCCTGCTGGTATTAACTTTTTTTTAAGTTTTAGGAATGATATTTTTACAACTGAAAGGTACATCGATGGGCTCACATGTCGGCCCACCTTATGTGAATGCTTTCATTAACATGATTGAAATAGCACACATTTTTGAGAACCTACTATTATTATTATTATTATTATACAGTATTTATATAGCGCCGAAGGGTGTGCTCAGCGCTGTACATTAGCGAGGGGGACAGAACATGAGACAATACAGTACAATACAATTCACGAGGGGTTTGAGGGCCCTGCTCTTTCGAGCCTACTATTTAAGTATCACTGTTTGGGATGGTATCCTTTTTTTAGCGAAATGTGTGCAGTATGGTGGGGGCATGAAATTTCTGGATGCATTTAACACATACTGTATGAATTTGTCCATATTTTCAGTTTAACTGTATAGACAGTCAGGAATCAATTTAATTTTTGGCTATAACTATCTCAAAAGGGTGTCCATATATTGAGCAATATTTTTTCTAAACCTACTGATTGTAATCATCTGCTACACTATCAAAGCTTTCACCCATCAGGGGTATTTAAATTGATTTCTAGAACTGAAATGAGTTAAAAGGATTGCTAGTGATAACACTAAGCATCAGACATTGTATAGGGAGATGAAGAAACACAGAGGTATCCCAGTGAGATCATTAAAACAGAAATAGATGGTATTGAAAGAGAAGAGAAAAATAGAGACAGGAAGCTAGATTAGTAGAGAAACGTATGTCATTTGTTACACAGTTTTATACCTACTCGGCTAATATGTATTCCATTGTAAAAGTAATTGGAATGTTTTAAGTGAGAACTATTTGGATATACCAGAATTTTGAAATTTATTGTTACAGTCCTTTATAGGAGGTAAAACATTTGGATTGGGTGAGGAGAAGTGATTACCAAATTAGGATAAAAAAAATCTCAACCTATGGGGTGTTTTCCCTGCCTTAAAGAGGAGGCTCACTCTATACTACAAATTCTGCAGCTGCTGACTTTTATTAAAAGGGCATTTACCTGCTGTGGGTTTGGCTCGGGAGGGGATGGTGTAGTATGTATTCCCCCTTCTGTGCCATATCCTTGTCTTTCTCCTTATCTATATTTTTTTTCTTTTCTTTGTTTTTCTTTCCTTTTGTGGATTTTCTTATCTTATACTTTTGCCCCTTTTGGGGCCTCTCTTCTGTCTAAAATGGAAAAGGTTCAGTGCAGCTGGAGGCACAGGTACCCTTCTGATCTAGAGTTAAGTGTCCTAAAATATTTTGATCATCTTTTATGTGCTGTGTTTTGCCTTGAGTAATTATGTACAATGGTCATTTAGAATCTGGTCTACATCCTATTTGTCTTTGATCTACGATGACTAACTGTTGATATTTGTTGTAATATTTTTCTGTTTGCGGTATATCTCTTTGGATAGTGTTATGCTTGTACTGATGTAAAAAGCTGCAACTAAATAAAAAATTTATAAAAAAGGGCACTTACCTGTCCAGGGATCCAGCGCCATCCTCACCTGGGCTAGATCTTCCCTAGCCTTCAGGTTCCTGGCGCTGTTATCCTGACTATGGACAGCTGGGCCCACTTTGGGTGGAGTTCCACTTTAAATTGTATGCATTGTTTGAGTATAATTAAAGGAATCTATAAATACTTTATTAAAGATAGAAAATGTAGACTTACGAAGACTAGACATTTTGTGAAGAAATCCCATACAATAGCACAATTAAAATATATGATAATTCATTATGTACCCTCTTTAGGATGGGGCAGGGATAAAGAATTGATGTTTGACAAAAAAGAGGTTCAATTGATACATACATACACCTGATACAACACAGCCAGGGGGATTAAATACTGACCTTCATCTTTATTTGTTTAGATAAAAAAAAATATTTGTAACAGAAAACGGTTCATTACTTTGTAGCTATTTTGCTTTTAAGTTGTTGGCATAGAGATCCGCAATTAACAATCGTTTTCTATAGTTACTACTAGATTACAAGTTGTCTTAGGCCAGGGGTGGCCAACCGATAGTCCATGGACTACTGGTGGTCTGCGTCAAAATTTTGGTGGCCTGCAGAAAAATCTGGACATTATTTGCATTTTTTATATTTTATTAATAATAAAACAAAAATAATATTCTAAGAAATTCTTATATTCTGAATGACAATTTTTGCCTTTATGTTGCACTAAATTCATGAACTGTACTAAAGAAGGGGAAACAAGAGAAGCGCAGCATGACATCAGGGTAGTTATAAGTTGGTTGAGGTAACCGTTGCTGAGACATACGATTCAGTATTGTCGGTACCTGTCTTGGCTTGAAATAAAAACAGTTCTCCATCTTGCAGTCACGTCATTGGAGCCAGAAATCCATAAACTTATTTCAAACAAGCAGGAACAAATATCACACTAAAAATGTGTAATACTTCAATAATGCTTCAATTATCTTGTAATAATGAAACTAACTTTAATAATTTTGTTACAATTAAACAACCTTTAAAGCAATGGTTCTCAACCTTCCTAATGCCGCAACCCTTTAATACAGTTCCTCATGTTGTGGTGACCCCCAACCATAAAATTATTTTCGTTGCTACTTCATAACTGTAATTTTGCAGTGGTAGGAGTAGTGCCACATCATTGGTGTCAGTGAGAGGAATAGTGTCCCATCGGTGGTGTCAGTGAGAGGAATAGTGTCCCATCGTTGGTATCAGTGAGAGGAATAGTGTCCCATCGGTGGTATCAGTGGGAGGAATAGTGTCCCATCGTTGGTATCAGTGGGAGGAATAGTGTCCCATCGTTGGTATCAGTGGGAGGAATAGTGTCCCATTGTTGGTATCAGTGGGAGGAATAGTGTCCCATCATTGGTATCAGTGGAGGAATAGTGCCACATCGTTGGTGTCAGTGGGAGGAATAGTGCCCATCATTGATATCAGTGGGAGGAATAGTGTCCCATCATTGGAGTCAGTGTGGGAGAAATAGTGCCCCATCATTGGTGTCAGTGGGGGGGGATAGTGCCCCATCATTGGTGTCAGTGGGGGGGGGGAATAGTGCCTCATCATTGGTGTCAGTGGAGGGAGGAATAGTGCCCCATCGTTGGTGTCAGTGGAGGGAGGAATAGTGCCCCATCGTTGGTGTCAGTGGGGGGGGGAATAGTGCCCCATCGTTGGTGTCAGTGGGGGGAGGAATAGTGCCCCATCGTTGGTGTCAGTGGGGGGAGGAATAGTGCCCCATCGTTGGTGTCAGTGGGGGGAGGGATAGTGTTCCATCGTTGGTGTCAGTGGGGGGAGGAATAGTGCCCCATCGTTGGTGTCAGTGGGGGGAGGAATAGTGCCCCATCATTGGTGTCAGTGGGGGGGAAATAGCGTTCCACCATTGGTGTCAGTGGGAGGAATAGTGCCCCATCATTGGTATTAGTGACACCAATGATTGGGCACTATTCCTCCCACTGACACCAATGATACTTACCTTGCTGACCCCTGTTCCAGCCTGGGCTCGCTCCCTCCCTCTCCCATCTACAGCCAGCATACCTGACTGCAGCAGCACCATCTGCACAGTACAGACACTTACCGGTCAACTGTCTTTCTTCTCTGGCCACTCTCCTCTTCACTGGCTCCGGCAGCTCCCTCACTCGATCTTCTTTGATCTTTTGCGCTGCCGCTCGGCTCCTCCTCTCCAAGCTCCACCTCCTCGCCAGTGATTGGCCGCCTGTGCGCCTCTCCTGAGCTACAGTTAGAGTGGCCAATCACCAGCAAATAGGCGGAGCTGTTGAGTGATCCCAGGGGTGTGGCCAGATGACAGGGGAGGCATGTCATCCCACCCACACATCGCCTGGAGACGGATAGAGGAGCGGTGTCTTGTTCCTAAGACCATCGGAAATATGTGTTTTCCGATGGTCTTAGACGACCCTTGTGAAATGGTCGTTTGTTATGATTAAATAAGCATTTACGATTTTTGTTACAATTAAATAAGCATTTCGAATTTTGTTTACATTAAATAGGTGCATTTTATATTAATAAAATGGAAGTTCTCTGATCGTTATTTTACAAATGTATTTATCTTTTTCGGGGAAAAATTCATATTAGTACTCCACGGAATTTAAAATGATGAATTTAGTGGTCCGTGAGGTTCGAAAGGCTGGCGACCAATGTCTTAGGATGCATTCACATTTGAGGGTTGTGGAGAAGAGGCCTTTGTCCACATCAACATGGGGACAAGGTGCTTTGAGGGGACCCCCCTCCCCAAAAGCACCCCCCATGTTGAGGGCATGTGGCCTGGTATGGTTTGGGGCGGGAGCTCGCTCATCCCCCCCTTTCCTGGCCTTCCTCGTTGCATGCTCACATAAGGGTCTGGTATGGATTTTGGGGTGGACCCCATGCCATATTTTGGCATGGGGTTCCCCTTAAAATCCATACCAGACCCAAAGAGCCTGGTCTGGATTGGTTCAGACCCCCACGCTGTTTTTCTTGTTTTCTTCTAAGACTGGCACCTGCTTATTTACATTGTTCTGTCAGCAGGAAATCTCACTGACAGGAGATGAGTCATGGTTTCTAACAGCTGCTGCCTGCTCCTTAACAACCAGCTATTCACAATCAATTCAATATTATCACACAAATTCAAAAATCTGAATGAAACTAATGCATTAATTTTCTCATCATAACTTTTTTCAGATTCGTTGCCAGTCATTGCTATGCCCATTTGGAAATTCGGATACATCCAAAACTCAGAAAACATAATTTTCTTCTAAGAAATGAATTAAAACAAAACTAATCACACGTCTAGACCAGATGTGTTTTATTTTTACAAAAATTTTAGGGATAGAAATTTACTGATTTTCATGTGTCCTGCACACAAGCACATGATTCTAAAGAGTTCTTACATTACCCTGAACCTAACACTGTCCTCAAAGTCCAAATTCTTAAAACGGTTCTAAAGGCTCAAGGTTTTTTAACCTTCATGTATTTTATGCATGAAGGTAAAAAACCTTCTGTGTGCCCCAGCCTCCCCCCAATAGTTACCTGAGCCCCCTCCCACCCAGCAATGTTCTCGACAGCCTCTGCTGTCTGGGGACTCTTCCTCTTTATTGGCTGAGACAGCAGCTGTCAATCAAAGCCAAATGAGGAGAGAACAGGGGCAGGGCTAAGCCAAGGCTCTATGTGTCTTATGGATGCATAGAGCAGCGGCTCGAGTGCGCAGCAGTGCCCCCAGGGCAAACAACTTTTCCTGGGGGCACTGCTTGAAGGGGAGCAACCAGGAGCGCTGGCAGGAACCTGAAAAATAGAGGATTGGGGCTGCTCTGTGTAAAATCAATGCACAGAGCAGGTAAGTATAGACAGGTTTGTTATTTAAAAAAACAAAAAAACAAAAGCAAAGCTTTAGTGTCACTTTACACAACACATCTGTTACAAAAAAATAAAAAAAAAAACACACAACCTATGTCATGTGAATAGTTATGCTGCTAATGCTGTAGCTGATAAAAACAAAACAAAACAAAACAACAAAAAAAAAAACGTGCACATAATCTGATGTTATACAAGCAAGCATGCATAGTTTAGCACTCCTTTAATGTTATTTTCTAAAGGAATATTTAAATTGTAACACCACATTGGACTTATAATTAGCTCCTGTGGTCTCCCAATCTCTAAATGGCAATCAAATAATTTTGTGAAAAGCTGTACAACAAACTTAACAATCTACCATCCATTAACACAATAATTTGACGACAGACAGAGACCTTTCCATTCCTCTATCAGATTATTCAGGTAATTTCCTAAGTCTGCTCTTACCTATTATAAAGCTGTTGTCATAGATTTGCGGAAAACATGCTTGTGTAATTGCATTTGTGTAATTGTTTTCTGTGGAGTTGTGTTTGAATGTGACATGAAATAAATCTTCATAGGTCCCCTTAGGTCTACTATTCTGTTCTTAGCATCATACATTTATTCATTTGTGATTAATTCTGATTATTAAATGTCCATGAAAAAGACTGACGCTAATGAAGGGGTTTCTGCTGAAAGCAGAAGCTTGTGACGTGCATGCTTTGAAACTTCCTTGCATCTCTGATGAATACTGAGTTCAGCAACGTACAAAAATCCCAATAAGGGCTGTAAAACAAGTGAACTATGTAAGCACAATGCTTATCACAACATATCCAGTAAATTGTATCTGTATTTTTGTGAGGTTTTTATGAACATGCCAGGGGTGAAACTGGAAAATCAGGTCAAATATTATAAGCAAATCTTTCTCCATTCTTTCATTTAAAAGCTATGGTAAAATATGCTGCCATTGAGAGGAAGAAGTGTTTAGTGTACTATGAATTTGTTTTGTGTCACATTCTTTACATGCCTATGTAATGAATAATGTTGAATAAAACAATGTAAAATCTGCTCTTCTGATGATTTGGGGGAATGTGGCAATCCATTTTTGATGGCAAACGTAGTAAATTTTCACAAAATGAACCAATTGACCTCCAAAAGGTTTACCCCCCTCATGATCAGTCGTGTTTGCTATTCAGTACTGTGCTACTGTAATTGGCAGTTTCTGGGTCATGCAACACTGTACCCAAATGAAATCTATTATTTGTTTCACACAAATAGAGCTTTCTTTTGGTGTTATTTGATCACCACTGCATTATTTTTTATTACATAAACAAACAAAAAACATTAAAACCCCCCCCCCCCCAATATTTTCTACTTTCTGTTATAAAACATATCGATAATAACATATTGATCAAAAAAATTGCAATAAGCGTATATTAATGGTATATATACCATATATGGTATATATACTGCAGTCTATGCAGCTTTTAAGCAGCTCTGACTTTCTGACTGCTTATCACATTTCTTGGGGTGCCAAAATGCCAGGACAGTGCAAACACCCTCAAATAAACCCTTTTTGGAAAGTAGACACCCCATGGTATTTGCTGAGAGGTATGTTGAGTAGATGGAAGATTTTATTTTTTGCCACAGGTTTTTTTGGATAATGACAAAAAAAGTTTTTTTTTTTTTACCCAAAGTTGTCAAATTAATTAGATATTTCTCACACATGCCATAGGAATATGTGGAATTACATCCCAAAATACATTCTACTTTTTCTCCTGAGTATGAGGATATCACAAGTCAGAGACTTTTTTGCAGCCTAGCAAGGTACAGGGGCCCAAAATCCAATGAGCATCTTTAGGCTTTCAAGGGATGTTAATTGTGCATTGGATTTCCTGACTACATATCACATTTTGTAGGCCCTAAAATGACAGGACAGTATAAACACCCCTCAAATTACCCCTTTTTGTAAAGTAGACACCCCAAGGTATTTGCTGAGAGGCATGCTGAGCTTTTGGAAGATCTTATTTTTTTGCCACAAGTTTTTGTAAAATAAATACGAGTAATTTGGGGGGTGTTTGTACTATACTGGCATTTTAAGGCCTTCGAAACTGCAACAGGTAGCCAGGAAATCAAATGTGCAAGTTACTCCCCTTTCCCAGCTAGGCTCTCAAAATACCATGGGGTGTCTACTTTCCAAGGGTCATTTAGGGGGTGTTTATACTGTCCTGGCATTTTAGGGTCTCCGACAATGTGATGGGTAGTCAGGAAATCCAAAGAGTAATTAATGTCCCTTCAAATCCTGAAGGTGCTCATTGGATTTTGGGCCCCTGTACATGGCTAGGTTGCCAAAAAGTCTCACACATGTGGCATTCCCATATGCAGGAGAAGAAGAAGAATGTGTTTTGGGGTGTAATTTCACATATTCCAATGGCATGTGTGAGAAATATAAATATCTATTTAAAATTACAACTTTGTGTAAAAAAAAAAAATTAACCTAACAGATTAATCCATTGCGGATGAAGAAATCTCTGGCACACATCCATCCCACGCTTATAATGTTATATATGTCATGTTCTTTTTTTCCTTCAACCTGTGGGCTGAATGAAAAAAAGAACCTAACAGATTCTTCCATTCACGTCATTCAATGTGGAAGAAAAACTCGCTGCAAGAAATAGTAAAAAAGTAAATGCTGAGCATAAGAGCTACTGCCACCTGACTACCCCAAGCTCCTAATGCTGAGCATACACATTCTTTTTTCTGCAAATGCAGAAATCTCCCCCTGAAGCTTTACAGGCACTGATGTATCAGTGCAGTCAGAATAAACAGATCTACAGATTTTACAGTTAACTGGCGTTCCTGCAAAGCAAACAACAGTTAGCATTAACACACGTAACAATATAACATCTCAATAAAACAACTTTTTTTTGTAACAACTTTTCAGAACAATAACCTTTGCAGTCTTTGATTTTAGGTCTCTCAAAATTTGACTACCTAACATCTTTAGCGACAATTCTGTGTTTATATTGTGCCATTTTGTACCCTAGACCAGTGGTGGGCAACCTTTTTTTTCAACTGAGCCAAATCTCGCCAAAACCACGATTGAAATTTATTTTGAGAGCCACATTTTTAAAACTGAAAATACATAGGATGGTACACTGTTTTAAGTTTCAATAAGTTTTTATAGTAATTCATCCCCC